CAGCCACACTAGACGCTGTTCTAAGACCTCTATTCAGAGCACGTTATCATAGTCTCTTGAGACTGAAGCATGCCTACAGTAGGCTGGCAGGAATTGGGACAAGCAATGACAGCTCACCCTGTTGTGCGGATTTGAACTGCCAACCTTTCAATCAACAGCCCTGTGGCTCAGTGGTTAGAGAAGCAGCAGGTTCTGCTGGTTAGAGGTTATGGGCCCTGTGCAAGGTGGCGAGCCTTGTCAACTGAGCACATCAGCTCTGACAAATAAACACCTACAGGTGAGTGGAGGAAGAAAAATACAACAAAAAAGCAAACTTAGGTACATCAAAGAAGCAATTGGTGTCTGCATTGCATCTTATGTGTGAAAGAGGTGGAAGCAAAAGGAACTAATAGCAGCTCAGACCTCCAGATGTTTTGAACTTCCACTCCCAGAATACCTAGCAAGTAGGTTCTGAGAGTAGGTTCTGGGAGTGGAACTCCAGCCCATTGGGAGGATGTACAGATGAGAACCACTGCATTAAATTACAAGGGCACACATTTTTCAAAAACCATAAATGCATGCTAGTTTCAGTTCAATAAGTGCATAAATAAGATTCTATAATCTTGTGGAGCAATTAAGGATATAAATACATTCCATACCTAAGGACTATATAAGTGATGCAAGAAACCGACAGCTTGAAGCAAATCAAGAGGAGGTTCATCCATGACTATGGTGGGCTCTACAAGTGGCACGTTTTTGTCCTTGCTCCTGTTAGGAGGGGGCGTGTGGATTATTCTGGGAACAAATGTTTGCCTATTTAAGAAAATAGTTCAAACACCAGGAAGTATGATATTTTCCTCCCTTGTCAAACCTTCCTGCCTATAGAAAGCTAGCATGGTAGGGTGAAATGTAGCATTCAGACATGCAGCTCTGCAAGTTTTCCCCCATCAAAGCTATTCTACACTAAATAGTTTTTTTTGAGCATAATCTCCAGGTCTATAATTTTTTTCTCTCCCTTAGCTAATTCCTAATGGTCCTCAAAAATGAAACTTGTAGCCAAATTATAAGTCTCCCCGGGCTATCATCATTGGCTCCTGCTAATATGAAACAATATACATTGCTCATGGGTGCTCCCTTTTATTTGCACAGAGTGTTCATTTCTTTTTCACAATATTTTATAACTTTTGGGGGGGACCGTCAGTGTTCAAATTGCAGTCTTAATTTTAAGAGAGTTTGCTGGAGATCAAAATCTTACACACTAGTTCAGCCATTCCTAATAAAAGAATATTTCAATTACAGAAGCAAAAGAATTAATATATGAACCTTTAAAGTTAAGTAATCAATGTGATATATTTTCCATCAGAAACAGAAGACATGCCATAATCCAGTGTAACAAAGGGTGCAAGGAAGATGATATTTTTCTTTCTTTTTTTAAAGCACATACTATTTACATACTTTCAGTCTTTCCTCTTAAAAAAAATATGATCAAGCAGATTAAATATTAGTATAGAACATTTCTTCATATATAAATTAAACTCAACTGATTAATGACTAAGGTGCCCAGAAATGTGGATGCAAACACAGCCTGCAGCAAAACCCTTGGGTGTCTATTTATTTATTTACAAAGTTTCTTTGAAATTTCGCTTCATTCTTTTACCTTCCAAGGACACTTCAGTGCGAAACAACTATGGCAACAAACTCTTCTGAGTTTAATTCTTAAATTCCAAGATCTAGAGCTACCGGACATAAAGCAAAGAAACATTAGCATCTCTCTCTCTTTTTGGATATGTTTTGCCCACTATCAGAAGGAGCCGTTGCTGATATTCAAGACATTGGTTTAACTGCACATATTGAACAACTGGTTCAATAGCAGAATCAAAACAAAATATCACACACACTCACAATGCGGTGGACCATCAGAATTCAATTTTCGTTTTTGGAACATGTACCATTTATAATTTTGCTTTTGAAATTTGACCTAGATGGATCCGTTTTGGGGGAGAAAAGGTTTTATCTATGCTCAGTGAAAGTTAAGGCCACTGTATTATCAGCTTCCTGTTTTGCAGCCATAGCGAACCTAGGGCACGTGTGGCACAGCTAGCATGCAGAGCCTTCTCTGTGGGCACATGAGCCATAAGTCGCCATCGAGAAATACTTACCCGTCCTCCAACCCTGGATTTCAGGAAGAGCTTTTGGGAAGGGAGGGTGAGCCAAGACGGCAGTGGCTGCCACTGCCACAAACACACACACAAAGACACACACATACATGCCTGGACGCCAGGCATGGTAACACCCGGCTCCTGCCAACTGCACCTTTAAGGGTTTCAGCCGGAGGCGGAGCGGGGAGTGTCCCAGGCAGATGCTGGAGGTTGTGCGGCCGGAGGAGTGGGACTCTTTGGGATGGTCATGGTTGGTTTTGTGTTGCAGTTTGGGCACTCGGGACTCAAAAAGGTTCACCATCACTGCTATAGGGTAAGGCGCTTGGAGGCATCTTGGAATGAGATCCATATAATTTAGGCTCCAGGGATCAGAAAGGCGCTTGGAGGCATCTTGGAATGAGATTCATATAATTTAGGCTCTAAGGCCTCCAGGGCTCAGGAAAAAAATTATTTTCTTGGACTACTGTTATCAGATACAGCAACAGAAACTCTGTGACTTTTAGCCCTATCAAATCCCCAAGCTCTGTTTAATCTATGGAGTGCCAGCAGCCTTTGGACCTCACTGCTAGTCTGGAAGAGAGGAGCTCTGCATTTCAGGACCACCATGTCATCAAGAGTGCCAGCCACTGTGAGCATCTAGTCATCCGATCATACAGGTCAGCCCATGTCCACCATGCCCCAGGTGCTTCAGAGTTTTCTCCTCCCTCTAAGTGCATCGTTGTCCTGTGAAGATATAGCCCAGCCAATTGTCCTGTGAAGATATAGCCCAACCAATTGACTTCTGTGTTGGATCTTGCACCCTGCGGCATTTCATCAGTGCTTGAAGGTGCTACCACTCTGAACCAGAACTTCCAGAATCCCACAAGATGAGAGATCCGAGGTGGATCTACTACCAAGGAAACTTAAGGAATACTACGGAAACTTAATACTAAGGAAACTTAAGCATCAGGGCCCCTAATCTCAGAAGGCCTTCAGAAGTGACTTTAGTCTACCTTTTTTTAAAAATTGTGGCAATCTGTCATGGAACAACCCCATGAAAGAAGATAACAACGGTTACCCAGACCTCGTTGCTGCTTGTGAAGGAGCCCCAATAACAGTTCAAGCTTCAGGGACCTAAAAATGTAGGTCTGCCACTGTGAGGGATTCTGACAGCTGTTGACCAAAACAGAAACTTTTCCCAATTTTTGACTGCACCCCTGGCTCTTAGCCCTCTGTTTTTTGTTTCCTCCTCAGAGACTCAGCTCTCGCCTATCTGGGGCTATGTGCTGCTTCTGTCTCATATGGACTGACAAGAGCGAGAGAGAAAGCCTTTGGCTAGCCACCTAGAGTGGTCTGGTAGTCCAGATAGGCGGGGTATAAATCAAATAAATAAATAAATACTAGAAACAGACAACCTGGAGGCTGACCCTTGTTAAGGCCTGACAATATTTTAATCATCCCCAAGTGATCTCATCTCACATGACCCTTGACTTAACTTCAAAAGCTTCCTGTGGGTGTATTAAGTCTCAGCCAGGGCAATCTGTATTCTCCCCTATAACCTTGGTATGTGTGGAGGGAACAGGTGAAAAGAAGAGCTGGCAAAAAGGGACAACGAAAAAGGGCATATCTCACCCACAGATGGCATGTAGATTCTGACAAATTATCCATGAGAGAAGGAACTTGCCCGCTGCTGTTTCCCATGTTGTGCCAATGCAGTCGAGGAAAACAGGTTTTGCACACGTGGTTCCCTAAGGGCTGAGAAATCTGCACCGTTCCTACTGTATTGTATAACATGCCTATCGTTGGTACAGGGATAAATGGGGTGGTAACATGACTACGGATGAGGGTACTTGGAAATTTTACTTTTTTTGGACTACAGATCACAAACTGCCCAGGCAGTTAACTGAAAACCTAAGGCAGGAAATCTAGAAGTTAACAAGGCAAGTACATTCTATATTACTTCATCTGCTGTTGTCATTTTTTTTAATGCTAGGGAAAGGGAAAAGAGCTTGGAGAATTTCCTGTCTCAGGTCCCACTAATGTAGCTGGTTTTAGGTACTACTGTAGGATCCTTTTATCTGCAGGACCAGTATCCACACTGATTCACTTATCTACAGTTCGAAAATATTACATATATATAATATTTTATGACTACTTCATAGTCCCTATATATGAAAACTATGAAGTTACCAGAACTGGCCACTAGATGGAGCCAGAGACCGCATGAAAATATTAAAAGGAAAATCCCTATATATAAATTCAGACTGTAGATAAGTGACTCAGGGGATACTGATCCTGCGGATAAAAGGATATATAAAAAACTATGAAGTTATCAAAAAAAACTATGATGTAGATAAGTGACTCAGTGGATACTGATCTTGCGGATAAAAGGATATATTAAAAAAACTATGAAGTTATCAAAAAAAAACTATGAAGTTACCAGAACTGGCCACTAGATGGAGACCATGCTATGTACAGTGGTACCTCAACTTACAAACGTCTCCACTTGTGGACGTTTCTGGAGACCATGCTATGTACAGTGGTACCTCGACTTAGAAACGTCTCCACTTGCGGACGTTTTGAGTTATGAATGACTCCATTAGCAAAATGTTGCTTTGACTTGCGAACAGAGCCTCGCCTTATGAACAAAAAACCCTTTCCTAGCCATGAATGACTCCATTAGCAAAATGTTGCTTCGACTAGTGAACAGAGCCTCGACTTATGAACTAAAAAAACCTTTCCTAGCCTTTTTTGGACCTAAGTTCATCTCAGGTCAAAAGAATAAAAAATAAAAAAATTCATCCCCTAGTAGTAGATACGGATTAACTGGCTTTGCATTAGTTCCTATGGGAACTAATGCCTCTACTTACAAACAGTGCCTCAACATACGAATGAAAAACAGCCTGAATGGATTAAATGGTTTTCAATGCATTCCTGTGGGAAAACTTGCCTTGACTTTACTAACTTTTCGACGTATGAATGCCATTCCAATATGGATTAAGTTCGTAAGTCGAGGTACCACCGTACTGTGTTTGCTATTAAAATAGTGTTCTGTATCCACCAGGGCAGTCTTGGAACAGGTTTTTGCAGGTGTGTGTGTGTGTCCTTAATTTAGAGCTATGGGTCCCCTCCTAAAAACCAGAGAGATGGTTGCATCATGACCTACAAATCAAAAGTTTCCATTTAATCTTTCAACTCAGTCATCACGTTGTGACGTTGGAGTCTCATAAAGCAACTTTTCAAAACTATCAATTTGCAATGTGTTAGCCAAAATGCCAGAGAAAACAGCTGGGAAATATTTTCACCTCTCAGAGAAAGTGCCATACCAAATGTGGGTCGTGGTGTCACTGAGAAACTGGGGCATCTAAAGAAAAGCCGTTTTAAGCCTTGTGGCTCTCAAAACAGAACCGATCCGACTCTGCAAGGGAAAACCAACCATTTCAACTATGACTTCTCTGCACTGGAGGCTGATGTACAAAACCTCCCCCAGAGGTAAAAGGCAAAACTGTTAAGGCAGCATAAGAATCCCCCGCCATTTCATTCACATCTCTGTAAATTCATTTTAAATTTACTTCCAAGGCATCCGCGGGGGGATCTTGGTTTGTGCTTGCCCTTAACGTGAAGGCATTTCCATAGCATCGGACAAAGAGCTGACCAGTTTCGTGTGTGATAAAACCTCGGTTTGCTTCTTCAGCACTAAGTAACCAATGTGTAAAATCAGAAGAATTTTGAAGAAGCCTGTCATTTTTTTTTCACCCTTTTCTTTACCATCTTTCCTTATGATATACTTCTGTCTGTACAATCTCATTTGGATGTTCCGCTACTAGGCACGCGCCGTTAATGTCTTTGAGCTTGTTGTCAGGCAGATCCTCCGGCTTCGTGCATAGTTTTAATGCCCGGGAAATGAAGACATCTAAGTCAAACTGGGGGTCGCTTTTGCTGTCGACCTCCTTGGGTTCTTTGTGGAGACGGTGAGGAGAGGATGGCAAATTTCGCTCCTGAACCTCTGGAAGAGGGTTGGGGCATTCCAGCCCCGTCTGGGTGCTGGTCACCCACTGAGCTATCTCTAAGAAAAGGTTAGACGGTTCTTCTTCCAAAGCTAATTCCGCTGCGGGTGCGATCGATGCCCTTTTCCAGTGGGATAAGTCTAAGATGAGCTTGGGCTCTGAATAATGGTGCAGTTTACTGTCCCTCCACAGCAACTTGTCTAAATAAGAAGGTGACCCCACTTTATAATCACACGACCGCCCATAATCCCCTTCGAAGGCTCGGTCCATGGAAGAATGAGACTGCTCCAGGAATCTCTCCGAGCTACTCTGGGAGTATTTGCGTGGATCCACTTGGACATCCTCGGCAATGGATTCCGATCCTGCTCGGGGATCCCGCTGCACATCGTCCAAATCCTGGCCCTTCTCATGGCGCCACTCCAAGTCAGAGGAGAAGCTCACTTGATACCTGTTTGGGTAAAATAACGACAACGTTAGGCACTAGAAAATGTAAACCTTCTTCTTACCAGGTCTTTCTTTTTAAAATCACTACACTTCTTTTATTTTCTTTATGTATAAGCTGGTCTCGTGTTTCCTAGAACTTCCCAGAAGCACATCTGTCACAATCTGGGTGTCCACCAGGGGCTGGATCATGAGGAGCCAGGAAATTCTGACCCAAAGTCCCACAATTGATGCAGCAAGGACTGGTACCCTCTGAGGCACACTAACCAGACACCCGCAAGCCGGTGAGGTCTGGCCCTTCTCAGCCTGAAGTCTCCCTGCCTAGGAGTGAAAAAGATTGTCATCCGCCTTGGGGTGGCTCAGTATTGAGGCAGGCTGCCATCCTCCAGTGCAGCAACAGCAGCAGCAGCAACAACATGCCTAGCAGAAGATCTGGGGAAGGAGGAGGACTGCTGAGTATAGACGGAGGTATTCGTATATGAATATGAATATCCTTGCACAGGTGGTGTTAACGAGGGTCCAGCCCTATAGGGCTGGACAGTTCACTCACTGATCCAACATGGACGTGGAGGGTGCAATTCTACGGATGGTTCCACAGTGTGCGATCCGCTCTCCACTCTCCCACCTTGGAGTGAGGATTGTCCTCCCGCCTCCTGCCAGGAGTGGCAAGCGGATCATTTGTGGAATCGCGCCATCCGCATCCACGGCAGATCAGTGAGTGGACCGTCCGGCCCCATGGAGCTGGACACTCGTTAACAACACCTGTGCAGGGATATTTGTATTCGAATATCAACAAACCTATCTATTTTGAAGGAAATCAACCCTGAGTGCTCACTGGAAGGACAGATCCTGAAGCTGAGGCGCCAATACTTTGGCCATCTCATGAGAAGTGAAGACTCCCTGGAAAAGCCCTTGATGTTGGGAAAGTGTGAGGGCAAGAGGAGAAGGGGACGACAGAGGACGAGATGGTTGGACAGGGTCATTGAAACGACCAACATGAAATTGACCCAACTCCAGGAGGCAGTGGAAGACAGGAGGGCCTGGCGTGCTCTGGTCCATGGGGTCATGAAGAGTCAGACCTGACTTAACGACTAAACAACAACAACAATGAATACGAATACCCTCATCTCTACAACTGAGCTTCAGGTGAGGGCCTGTCCCACTTTGTGGGAAGGGGTGCGGCCTGAAGGGGAGTCTACTTGGCCTACAAGTACGAAAGTTCTTCACTTGACCTGGAGCAGGATTCTCACTTGAAGCTATCCTTGGTACTGTACTGGCTGGGCTGTTCCATAGGCTCTCGTTTTCGGCAGGAATGTGGCAATACTGACCCCTGAAAGGTCCCTAGAATTAGTCTTGGAAATAGCAGCCGCTAAGTAACAAATCAACAACAACAATAAACTTGCAAGTAATTAAACCAAGCAGCCACAGCAGTGTTGGAGTGTTGACTAAGATCCTGGGTGGTTCAAGTGCTTCATGCCAGGCATTAGATGGTATTTTAAGAAAAGCATCTAACAGATGAGGTGCCACTACAGAAAAGACCTCCTAACTTCTAATGCTGAAGGACATATTGATTACCTGAAGGTCAAACAGGTGCAGGGTTAAATTCTAGGTTCAAATCTGTGCCAGTTATTCTGGGGAATTGGGACAAATGTAAACCTTGTATGAGCCATGCAAAAGTTGTTTTTCTGGACTACAGTATCAAGATTCGTATGTGGCCAGTAGCTAAGTCAGCTGGAGCATGATATAGGGAATTGTAATCTAAAGAGTAGTGATTGCAAACTCTGTTTCAAGTAAGTTCAAGAGAAGCTGAATCTTGTAACCTACAAGAGTTACATAAACTCAGAAAATCTGCATATAGCAGCATGTTTTCAGTGACCATTAGTCTTGAAGAATGTCAAAGAATAATGCAGGGCATACAAATTCCAAGCCTTGATTGCCAAAACGCAAGTCATGTTCACATTCTGGCTTTATCTTTTAATCTAACCAATGACCAAAGCTTTTTAGCTGAGTCTTTAAGAACTAAAAATCTGTTAAGGCTGATGTGTTCTGCACTTCCATCCTAAATTGATGACAGTAATGTTGACATGACGTTATCAAGCAGTACTACATCTCATATCACTTCTTCAGGAACATTTGTGCTCACTCCTGAACAATTAACAACATTTAAAAATCTGCAATAAAGAAATTCAAGTGTAAAGCTCAATTTTGTGGCCGTCATATCTTATGTAAACAGGTCATATTTGCATAGTTTGCCTTATATGACATACTTTAGTCCACTGGTTCTTAACCTTTGTTACTCAGATGTTTTTGGACTGCAACTCCCAGAAGCCTTCACCATCAGCTCTGCTGGCTGGGATTTCTGGGAGTTGCAGTTCAAAAACACCTGAGTAACAAAGGTTAAGAACCACTGCTTAGTCTACAGCATTTACTGTTAGCTGAAGCTATTTTAGTTTGCCTAGTAGTGGGGAAGGAAAAGCCTGCTGCAGTTTTTACAACCTTCCGTGCTGATTGTAGTTTATTTGGCTGGGATGGACCTTTCTGGGCTGAGATGACTGTCAATCTATCCAGCGCTAAGCAATTGTTCCATCCTGCTGATGAATTCTAAGAGAACCTCACTTTCTGCTGAGTGTCCCTCTCCTTCTCTTCAGTCTGTTGGAAGCAGAGTTGTTGATTTGCTGTTGATCTGTTCACAACCGTTAAGTAATGGAATGTTTTTTTAAATTCTTTCTCCTACAAATGTCTCAGAGTGAGCTGTTGAGACCTTAAAGTGCCAGTTAATGAGAAAGGGGTGGAGCACCTCAGGAACTTGAAGCTGTTCTCCTCTATGAGCCTCTGTACTTCGACTCCATAGCAAAAGGATTTTACCAGGAATTCAAAAATATGCAACAAAGCCTAAATAACTATCACTGGAAACCTTGTTCAATTACTCCTGGAGCTTCTCACAGTTTACCAAACCCTTGCACAGATTAGCATTTATGAAGACTAGCAACCTTCTTCTGAAATCGAAAGATCTTTGCAGTCCATTCCACCTTCCATGACACTGCAGAAGGTAAAGGTAAAGGTTCCCCTTGACAATTTTTGTCCAGTCGTGTTCGACTCTAGGGGGCGGTGCTCATCCCCGTTTCCAAGCCATAGAGCCAGCGTTTTGTCCGAAGACAATCTTCCGTGGTCACTTGGCCAGTGCGACTTAGACACGGAACGCTGTTACCTTCCCACCGAGGTGGTCCCTATTTATCTACTTGCATATTCAGACTAGTGAATAAACGTACCTGTCCCAGTTGAACATCTGGCTTTGACTGGCTTCCATCAGTAAAATGTCATCTATCTCGTCCTCAATTCGGAAAGGATGCTGAGAAACAGGTTCATCCTCGGGACAATAATATGGGCTCATATAAGGATGCTGCAGGCCTATCTCTGCAGTCAGCCGGTCCATGGGATTGAATGTCAGTATCTTCTCCAGAAAATCGATAGCTGTGAGTGGCAGAGAAATGATCAGGCCAGCTGTACCCAGACAAAAGCCGCTCTTCTTCCTAAATGGACTTTCTCACGGGATCATTATATGTGCGACAGGAACAATCACCCCTGAAAGCAGATAAGAACTTAACCTCTAAAGCTCTCTTTCTATTTAATTATAGCATGTAATTGGCCTTGATTCAAAAGTAGAACTCTAATTATATTTAATGGGGATGATGTGCGGCTCTTGGAAGGCTGGCGAGCTTGAGTCAATTGTGAGCTCTCTTAAAAATAGGACAAAAGTCGCAGCAGAGATAGCCGGAGAC